GTTTTTTTTAACTAATTTGATACGCCTCCATATGGGCACGAATAGTTGTATAAAACGCATCAAGACGGTACACGATTTCTTGCCATGTTCGCTGTAGCATAGTGTCATCAATGGTGGCAATGGCATCAGTGCTCTTTTGCTTTAGATTAGTGATGTCTAATGTCTTTGATACGCGATATCTTTAATATAAACCCATAGAAAGAAGTCCCGGAGAGTGATATCTAGTGAACGAGATAGCCAGGGAATTGGGCCATCATTTCCAAATCCTCTGGTCTCGAAATGTTTGAATTAGGAACCCACAAACATACAGTCGGCAATTTTGTGATACCTCATCTTGCTGGAAAATGATCGTTGGTTTAAGATCGTCTGGTTGCGTTGCCTCATCAGTTGCCTTTATAATATATATTTTTAAACTGTAAAGAGACTTTATAGACACCTTATATAACAGAGGTAAAATTTATATTAACAATGAATATAAATTATCCTCACTTATTAGTTTCACGCACGATCCAATCAAGTGAGGTTTCAAATCTGACATTTCTTTCAATTTCATTTGTATAATGTATATATATATATTTATTATTATTTATTGTTGTGGTAGGATCCACCTAATTTGCATAGTGGAGTACCGACCATATAAATATGGTTGGTACCGGGAAGAGAGGGAGGAATCAAGAGATTCAACCAGTGACTCTGCACGACTGCGACTCAGTCAACACATTCTCCAGGAACGGTCTTACCAGTAATATACAAAAGACTATATGTAAATATTGTGTACAATTTCTTGTTACAATACATTTTGTTCTAAGTACATTTTGTGTTGCATTATTATTCCATGCATTAGTCAAGTTTCAACATTTATATAATTCATTTATTCATACTTACTTAATTTATTTATTAATTGATTAACACTTTTTATATACACTCCGTCTGAAGTTATCCAAATCAAAGCTCATGTCAAGCTGAATAAATCGAATTAACTTTAAAATACTTTAAAAATATTGCTTTGTCAACTTTTAAACAAATAATGTCAAAATAAAGCTTGAATTAAAAGCTTAATCGTTTTATTAAAAGATATTGGATTTATTATAAAAAAACTGCAGTCTAAAGTTATTATGCAGATTAAACAAATATTAGTTTAAGGTCTATGAAATCCAATAAAATAAATATGTTTCTTTTTTTCATAATATATGTTGAAACATTGGTAATGGAAACCATCTAAATTGAACCGATTGAATTAATGCAATTCAACAAAATCAATGGATAATAGATTGCTGACAATTATTGATTGAAGGTTCACTATAGTAAGACTCAAATGCTTCAAAGAATTATCATATATAAAACGCTAAAAAACAGAAAATAACAGTTATTCAGTGAAGGAATGGAGATATTTCAGGAGATTCACAGATATCATCAAACGATAAAGACGACTATTGAAAATATAAGAGACTTAGAAGCAAAGGAAAAGCTTTTAAGATCTTGACTGCTCGAGGGGAACATAGATTATAACTAGTTCTATAGAAACAACTACTTTTGACCTGACAGGCAGGAATTGAGTGAGTCAATGACAAAGGGTGTAGAATACTTCGATAATTTTGATCTGTCAATAAATTTCCTGCGCAAACTCATCTCAGTAAAGCAAATATATTAAAGCGTCAAAATTAGGCTAAGAAATAAATAAAATTTGACTCTTCTAAAGTAATTTTCCCGTACGAATATCGGACGACACTCCATGGGCCTGTTGAATAGTTCAAAGGATTTCATCTGATACAGATGTGCCTGTAGCTAAAAAAAAATCAGCAAAGAAGTGGCAGTGTGATTATATGGACCGAAATTGACGACCAATTAAACAGAACAGTGCTAACATGCGATTTCATGGTGAGGAGTTTCTTTCAATTGTACACAAGTCCCAGTTTCGCAGTTTCAAAGCGAAGCGTTCATTTATGTTCGACAATGCTATTTCTCATGTATCTAAGGTTACTCGGGAATTTTTCGATCGTAAACGTATTGCAGGAGAGAAGATAATAAAATGGCCACCACCAAGTGCCGATCTGAATCTGATCGAAAATCTATTACCAACTAGCAGTAGAGCACAGCGTTGCCCGGGGATGTAACAGTAAGAGATAAATCAAGTATCGACCATCATAAAGACTGAAAAATAAAATTGACAAAAATTATTGTTTAAAGTTGACGGACACGCATGTCTTAATTAGTTTTATTTTTGTTTTTTTTACGAATTGGTTAAACCCAAACTCAAACAAAAACATTGTTTTCAATCGTTATGAGTCTACCGATTGAATAGAATTTTATTATAAACAATTGTCTTGTAAATGAAATTTTTAAAGCATTCTGAATGTAAAAATAAAGAAAAAAGTGTGCAAGACAATAAGAAACACTACCTGCCAAAAAAAGTGATGTTTTGTTGAAATCGATTGAAAAATATAGGAAATCCGATCCCATATATAAACGAACACAAACAAACAACCAACCTGGGTTTTATAATAAGTATAACTCGATATTAATAAGTATAACTCTATATGAGTTGTCCCCCTTTCATTAATGCCTCTTAATCGTGTTTTCAAATTGATATCGTGCAAAAAACAATTGTGTTTTTCCAATTTTTGGCGCTGTCAGAACCACCGCAAGGTAATTTTACGTAGTCCTGTGAAGTTTTGTTGAAATCGGTTGAAAAATGTAGGAAATCCGATCCAATATATAAACGTACAGACACACACACACACACACACACACACAATCTGTGTTTTATAATAAGTAAGATTGTGAATATGAAATTATAAATTTTATGAATTATATAAAGTTCTCCAAACAGTAAAAGAAGCAATTAAATGTAAACAATTAAAACCACCACATCGGAAACTGAACCGATTGAATTAAGCAATTCAACAAAATCAATAGATAATAGATTGCTGGCAGTTATTGACTAGAAGGTTCCCCGTAATAAGACGCAAATTTTTCAAAGAATTATCATATCTAAAACACTAAAAAACAGAAAATAACAGAGTTATTCAGTGAGGGAATGGATATATTAAAGGGGAATCATAGAGACCATCAAACAATAAAGACAATTGTTGAAAATATAACTAAGTTGTGAACTAGAAGCAAAGAAAAAAGCTTTAAGAACTTGCTACCTCTAGGGGAACATAGATTATAACTGGTTCTATAGAAACAACCACTTTTGACCAGACAAGCAGAATTTGAGAGAGTCAAGAAAGACATAAGGTGTAGAATACTTCGAAAATTGTGCTCCGTCAATAAATCTCCTAAGCAAACTCATTTCAGATTTTAAAGGCATCTGTGGAGAGCCGTAATCACCTTAATTCTGAAAGGAGGAAGACTGCTCTGAATTTAAAATCTTGGAGAAGGCAATGATATATAACTTCACTATCTTTTAAAAAGAAAGCCAAGTCACAGATAGGGAATGTGTGGAAAGCCTCGCTCACCTTCTTCCTGAAAGGAGCAAGACTCTTTTGAACTCAAAACCTTGGAAATGGTAAAACAATGCTTAACTTCTGGAATGGCTTTTTAAATGGCATTTTCCGTTTTTCTCAACTTGTTTCACATTATAAATATGCAGATGGACGCTACTAAATCGTTCCATTGGAAATATTTTGCATTCCAATTAAAATGTGTGATAACAATTTTATACAATGACTAGACTTGCCCATGACCCGTTGGGTAATTGACGGTTCAGGTTATCAAACATTTGAAGAAAATTAAAATAAAATACTTACTTTATAAACTACTAGTATTTTAAATTTTATTCACTGAAAATTTTTAAAATCAGATTAACTTAAAAATAATTTTTAAATATTTAAAATATTGTTTGTTTAAAGAAACCTGAAATATAAATAATTACTCTACAAACAACTGGACGAAACGGCAAAGCGGGATCTCTTTGTGTCTGTCTTTAACCTTAAAATATTTTAATTAAAAAAATACTGTCTGTTTGAAGAAAGTTGAAATAAAATACTTAGTGTATAATCAACTCGTATTTTTAAATCTTATTCACTTAAATCAGATTAATTTAAATAATTATGTACCGGACGGACGCATCATACATGCACGCATGCACAGAGAGTTGAAAAGAGAGAGGTAGAAGAGAGAGAGAGGTGAAAAGAAAGAGGTGGAAAGATGGAGTGATGGAAAATGGAGAGGTGGAAAGAGAGAAGTGGAAAAATGGAAAGGTGCAAAGAATGAAAAGTGAAAAGAGTGAGGTGGAAAGAGAGAAGTGGAAGAGGGAGAAGTGGAAAGAGAGAGGTTGAAGAGGGAGAGGTGGAAAGAGAAGGTGGAAAGATGGAGAGGTGGAAAGAGAAAGAAGTGGAAAGAGCGAAGTGGAAGAGGGAGAGGTAGTTGAAAAGATGGAGAGGTGGAAAGAGAGAGAAGTTGAAAGAGAGAGAAGTGGAAAGAGAGAGGTGGACAAAGAGAGATGGAAGAGGGAGAGATGGAAAGAGAGAGTAGAAAGATGGAAAGGTGCAAAGAGAGAGAAGTGGAAAAGGGGAGGTGGAAGAGGGAGAGATGGAAAGAGAGAGTTGGAAAGATGGAGAGGTGGAAAAAGAGAGAAGTTGAAAGAGAGAGGTGCAAGAGTGAAAGGTGGAAAGAGAGAGAAGTGAAAGGAGAGAGGGGGAAAGAGAGAGATGGAAGAGGGAGAGGTGGAAAGAGAGAGTTGAAAAGATGGAAATGTGGAAAGAGAGAGAAGTGGAAAAAGAGAGGTGGAAGAGAGAGAGATGGAAAGAGAGAGTTGGAAAATTGGAGAGCTGGAAAGAGAGAGGTGGAAGGAACTTAAAGCATTATTATGCGCCGGACGTACGACGCACCATGCAAGCACTCAACCATAGACTTTAGTATTATATAGATGACTAAAATCTTAAGATTTTATCAGAATGTCTTGTACTTTTGTAGCGAAATCAATAAGGATATGATGATGGCGTAACGGTTATTAGCTATGAAAAATGGAATCAGGGATCCAAGTTTCGACCAAGCTTACAGCATCTGGTATTATCAAGCGGTCACCCATCTAGTTACTGAACAAGCTCGACACTGCTTAACTTCGATGATCGTACGAGGACCAGTGTTTAAATATGATGTGGATGTAAGCCCATAGGGTGTTGTATTTACGTAGAATAAATGCCCTTAGGAAAGGCATGAGTTCGACTTTAATTATATATTAAAAATTGTTTAGCTTTGGTAGAACAAACACCCTAGGTGACGCGGAATTTAGAACTTTAGGGAAGGCATCAAGAAACGACTCTATTTATCTTTCCCTAAACATTGATATAATTTACAGATATTAAAGAGTAGAAAATTAGAATCAACCATGTTTCCTTAAGCACAAAAATGACATAGGATTTAAACAAGATATATCGGAAAATGATAAATTTACATTGGTCAACACGATTTTGGTGCCAAGAAACAAAACACGTTTTTTAGCCAAATTGATGGTACTGATTCCGAAAATGGTCTTATCTTTTCATGGTTGGCTACCGTTTTTGCTGTACTGAAATTGCTCATTTTTGGAAAAAAAAAGTTCAATTTACGATCTTGGCTGATCGCAAAATTTTGTTAATAAATGACGTAGAAACCCATCAATTTTCAGGTAGGTCGAGCAATTTATGTCAGCCACCCGAAATAAACTAAAGTGTTTTTGAGTCAAACATTTTAAAACAGATCTATCAAAATTTTCCAATCAGTAATACACTTTAGTAAACCTGATAGTTAAGCTGACATCAAAAAATGAAACCCTAAAATCTTCTGTTCGATATTCATAAATTTATCCCATCACCTTTATTCCTTCACTACGGAAGGAAATCAAGCATATTGAGAGAATTTTGTTTTCACAGTTGGAAAGAAACTCCAACTAAAGATATCCCAATTGAATGAACCTATTCCATTGTACATGATACTGGTGGAGAATCAAAAGACTTAAATAACATTGAACATGACAGACAATCAAGAAAGCGAAAGATTTTTATCATAGTTCTTATATTCGCAAAGGATTTTATTTATGTTGTTAGTTTATTAAGTGATTTGATGAAAATATTGTTGGTCTTGGTATATTCAATCGTGTTATTTTTAAAGACTTATGGTCTTATTGTTATTACAAAAATAATATTTCTCAATAAGCAGACAAATATTTGTTGATTTAAATACGAATTGAGAGGCTTCTACAATTTTAGTTTAAGAAATATTGTCATCGGTCAATATCATATATACAGAAAACAATTTTTTTTTAAAAAAGAGGCATTTCTATACATCAAAAACAATAGTTAATGAAGAAGTAAGGTTATTTTCAGATTCAACGCCCTCAAATTAGCTAAAATGGTGTGTGTTGCCTCGACACCATTTCATTTCTTTTTTGGTGAAAAATAAAAAGAAACCTTTCCTTTCGCGATGCATTTTGGAAATGATTTCTTTTGGCATCAATGTTTCGTTGCCATTATGTTGTATTGAATATTTTATCTGTAGCAATCTTTATTTATCTGTAGTCGCACTTAGCTGAGGATAGCACCAAGGATTTCAATACAAGATAATCATTAACGCTTATATGTCGACCTTCAGGTTTTGTCTAAAAACTTGGTCTTAAATCTTTCGACTTATAATTCTATTTTTCTATAGTTGCTTAGTTAGCACGTACGTTACGCTTTGCCATTACGTCCGATAAAAAACAGACTATTCCTGTTTGATTGCGAGGATAGACAGAAGAATGGGTATATCAAATGCGCTGTTTCGGTTTAGGGAAACAATCAAAGAAAGTTAATATAGACCAGACCATAACACACATGTGTTTAATTTCTGCTTCATTGAATTTGAATACCTTGTCAATTTTATGTCTTTTCATTTGTACTTTTTTACTTCTTTAAATAATAACCTGCCTTTATACGTATGATTATTTGTGTAATATTTTGTCAAAGATATTAAGCTCAAATATTCAACAAGACAATAGCGGAAAGTTCATGGTTGTTTTACAGTCATGGAATTAGCAAGGAGCTTATTCAGTCATTAACTTAAGAATAATGATTCAACAGACAATGAAAATAGGAAGACAGTGAAATTTATAGTGAATATTATTTTAAAAATTCCCTCTTATACTTTTACTTTCACTTTCACTTTTATTTTCTAGAGAAGTTACTGTTTTAATTTTAGTTTTTCCTTATTATTTCCTTGATTTTTCTTCTAAGGAATCCATTTCTTTCTTTAAGTCTCCCTCAGGATATGTTCGCTTATACATAACTTTTTCTGTTACACGAGACTTTCGGTGTTCGACAGCACGAATAAATGAAACCCAGAACCTATGAGACAATACCATACTCTGAAACACCGATATTTTTTAGGTGGGTTAAAATCAGGAAAATGCATCGATATCTGCAGCAATTACTGAAGCACATATTGGGTTGATCTCTCACTATATTTAACTTTAATTTGGTGAGGGTGAAGAGTCTGGGCTTAATTTCAGAAACTCTATGTATCAAAGCTCAGAATAGTCATTATTGTATACATTCGAACTATTTCGGATATTCATGAGTCTACCACACCAACCACAATGGTCCCGCATCAAGGACGGAAGGCCATTAGGGTGGCATTCTGTGTCATAACATAGCTGGTCAATGTAAGTAGTCGCTGGGCGGCCAACTCGTCTTGCTCCATGGCTAGGTGTCCAGAGCAGTAGATGACTTGCAAATTCTTGTTTTTCTCGCCAACAGTGTCCTGCGTTCGCGCAAGATTGTAGAAATATCAAGAATGTGTCCATAGTAGTGTGATTTAGTTAGATGTTGTCACCAAGAAATGTTAATCATAGCTATCAGCAGCCGAGTGTAAGTTCCATCATGCTTAGACTCTACGGTTTTACTTAATGTCCAAGCAGTGGCACCGTACATTAACACCAGCTTTACAGTGGCTCAAAAGAATCTCCGTTTGAGGTTTTCTGATAGATATGCTTTCCAGATTAAATCCATTTTATTCAAGGCGGCTCAGGCTTTACCTATGTGAATTCTCACGTTCTATTCAGTATATTTTTTCCGCTTCCTATCCAGTTGCCTTGATCTATCCACTATCCTTCTCCTCATCCTTTCTTCTATCACCCCCATCTGATCTTGCTCCAAATCTTCTGTAAGCCCTTGCGTCCTAGTGGCTTCCCGCCTTGCTTGGGGTGAAACGCTTAAAAAACTCTATGTAAAAGATTTGACGGATTTTATTGATTCATCTGAAACAGTTTGTATTAATCATTGCTGGTTGAAATCTATGGATTCATTTTTAGAGGCATTGACATAGAGTCTAATATCGTTGGCAATATTTTGTAGATGATGTAGGAGAACTGTAACATTGGTAATGATATCTTCAGTGTTAGCCAAGTCATATGCATAATCAATATCTATCAACTTTTTTGCAGGATATCGACTTGAGAGTCTTGGTGATAATGTAAACCTAAATGATGATGTTTGCGAGGGAAGTTCTCAGTACATAATCAAGGGTGATAACAAATAGAAAAGGGAAAGCGGGTCTCTCTGAAGGACCCCTGCTTTGATGTCGAAGAAGCTAGTTTCTTTGTCTGGAGATCTAAACAAGTCCTTGAATAATTACGATGAAAATATTTGTAGAAAAGGCAGAAAGAAACTACGTTACGATTTGGTTTGGTATGTTTTGTTTTACGGCATATCAACATCAATGGGTTATTTAATGCCGAAAAGATTTTTAGGATAGGTTCGTATGAATAGAATATGTATTCTTTGGTTTGGTTTATTTTGTTTTATGGCATATCAACCTCAATGGGATATTTAATGCCGACAAGATTTTTATTGCTGGTATTTTTTTTTCCGAAAGCGTATTTCTGGTAATATTTTTTCAAAAATGTATTACTGGTAATATTTTTTTTCAAAAATGTATTCCTGGTAATAAATTTTCATTCAAAAGTCTATATATTCATTTTTATTTTTATTTTATTAATATTTTTATTTTAATTTATTATTTTTTTATTATTTTTTATTTATTATTAATTTTAACATTTTTTTTCCTTATTTTTTTCATATTTTCTTTCAGGATTTCTGTTTTTTGGGTTTTTTTTTTAACCATTTCCATGTTTCTCGCTTTTTTCTATTTTACTTCTTTTTCATTTTATTTCTTTTTACTTTATTCTTTCTTATTCATAATTCCTTCTTCTGTTTTTTTTTCCATTTTTCCTTCCTTTAGCCTTTTTTCATTTTCATATTTTTCTTTATTCATCATTTTTATTTTCGTATTTTTCCCTTTTTTTTCAAATCATGATTCCTTCTGCTACTATATTTATTTCTTTTATTAATTTTTTCTTTTACATTTTTGTTCATTTTTCTGCATTATTTTCTATTTCTTTTTCTTTTTCTTCTTGATTCATTTTCTTATTCTTTTATATTTTGCAGTCTTTTCAAGTTTACTTTCCTTTTTCATTTTTCTTTGTTTTATATTACGACACTTGCCGTGTCTTTTTTTCAATATTTTATTCATTTTTTCTTGCTTTCTGTCTTCCATCTTCTTTCTTTTCCTTCTTTCTGCCCATCTTTCTTTTCCTTCTTTCTAATTTCTTTTATTTATTTATTTAATTTTTGTCACTTTCTTTTACTTTAGTTTTTATTCGATTGATTTATTTTTTTTTTCTTTTATTTCTTCTTGATATTTCTTTGTTTTGTGTTCTTTCAATACCGTTCTTTTTCATTTTTTATTCTTTCTTTTTATTTTTCAAAGGATTTTTTTATTCATTTCTTTGTCGTCTTCTTCGTTTCTTACATTATTCATATTTTTTGTTTCATTATGTCTCTTTCTTATTTGCTTTCTTCTTCTCTACATTTTTCTTTTTTTCCTTTTTTCTATCTTTCTTTATTTTATTTTCTTTCTTCTTTTTCTTTCTTTCTTCTTTTTCTTTCTTTCTTTCCTTTTACACGCTCATTTTTTATCTTTTATTTTTTTTCTCATACCCTTTTTTAACATCATGTTTTATTTTCTTCTTTTTTCCATTTTGCTTTTCTCGTTCATTTGCCAAAATCATTTTGATTTTTGTTTTAATTCAAATTCTCACTTTCTTTTTCTTTGTATTTGCTTTTCTTTTACTCCTTTTCTTTATTTCCTTTCTTTCCCGTTCCTTTGTCTCTTTTCTTTTCGACTTTCTACCTCGTTATCTTTTTCGTTATTATTTTCTTTTTCTTTCCTCATTCTCTTTGCTTTTCCATTTTTCTCTTTTTCTTTCTTTATCGTTCAGTTGCCACTTTTTATGTTCTACTCATCTTTTCATTCTTTTTTTCTTCATTATTTTATTTCCCTCTTTTGTTTTTCTTTAATCACTATGCGCTCCTACCCTTTATTTTCTGCTTTCATTCTTTCTTTTTCCTTTCATTCTTTCTTTTTCATCATTATGTTTTCTATTTTCTTTTTATTTTCTTCATTCCTTCTTTGTTTGTTTGTTTGTTTGTTTGTTTCTTTCTTTCTTTCTTTGTTTCTTTCTTTCTTCCGTTCTTTCTTTCTTTCTTTCTTCCGTTCTTTCTTTCTTTCTTTCTTTCTATTCATTCTTACATTCTTGGTTTTTCTTTCACTTTTATATTATCTTTATGTTTTAATTTTTTTTTCCATTTTCTTTTTATTTACTTCTTTCTTTTTTCTTTCATTCTTTCATTCTTATTTCTTCGTTTCCCTTTCAGTTTTATATTATCTTTGTATTTTACTTCTTTTCCATTATGTTTTTATTTTCGTCCTTCCTTCCTTCCTTCCTTCCTTCCTTCCTTTCTTTCTTTCTTTCTTTCTTTCTATTCATTCTTGCTTTCTTGGTTTCTCTTTCCCTTTTATATTATCATTATGTTTTACTTTTTTCCATTTTCTTTTTATTTCTTTCTTTCCTTCTTTCTTTTTTCTTTCATTCTTTCATTCTTATTTCTTCGTTTCCCTTTCAGTTTTATATTATCTTTGTATTTTACTTCTTTTCCATTATGTTTTTATTTTCTTCCTTCATTCATTCTTCTTTCTTTCTTTCTTCCTTCCTTCCTTCCTTCCTTCCTTCCTTCCTTTCTTTCTTTCTTCCTTTCTTCCTTCCTTCCTTCCTTCCTTTCTTTCTTTCTTTCTTCCTTCCTTCCTTCCTTCCTTCCTTCCTTTCTTTCTTTCTTTCTTCTTCCTTCCTTCCTTCCTTCCTTCCTTCCTTTCTTTCTTTCTTTCTTCTTCCTTCCTTCCTTCCTTCCTTCCTTCCTTTCTTTTTCTTTCTTTCTTTTCTTTCTTTCTTTCTTTCTTTCTTTCTTTCTTCCTTCCTTCCTTCCTTCCTTTCTTTCTTTCTTCCTTCCTTCCTTCCTTCCTTCCTTCCTTCCTTTCTTTCTTTTCTTTTCCTTCCTTCCTTCCTTCCTTTCTTTCTTTCTTTCTTTCTTTCTTTCTTTCTTTCTTTCTTTCTTCCTTTCCTTTCTTTCTTTCTTTCTTTCTTTCTTTCTTTCTTTCTTTCTTTCTTTCCTGTTGATCTGCTCTTTTCATTTCTCCGTCTTTATCTTTCATTTCTTTCTGTTACGTTTTATTTTCTTTCTGTTATCTTCTTTTCTCATTCTCTTTGCTTTCTTTCTTTTCTTTTTATCGTTTCCCACCTTTTTCATCGTTTTCCTTTTCTAGTTTACTTTTCTTTTTCTATTTTCTTATAAACCTTTTCTATCTCCTCATCTCCCCCCACGCCACACATGACTTCCTTTCTGTCTTTCTTTTCTTTGTTCACCTCCTGTAGTTCCCTTTTCCTTCACAGAAATTGCCCTATTTCTGTTCTCTCCGCCCATTTTCACGCCAGCCAGACCCCCTGTCCACTAAAAACGCCACCATCGCTTTTTGAATGCCATCACCGCAGCCATTACAGTGAACCGCTCTTCAACCAACATGGCGATCTCTCGACGTCCGCTACAAAGTGTAATCTGGCTCAGGTCTGACATTTGGTCTCAGCACCAAGATGGCACTGATAATTCTCCAACGAGCAGCGAAACGAAATCACTCACAGATCTCCTGTTAGCTTTTTATTACAACCATTTTCCAAGAGTCGGAATGAGACGGGATATGACGAGAGGAAAAGGATAATAATGAAAAGCGAAGTCATAAAAAATGAAAGAGACATGTATAAAAATGCATTCGCCGTCGGACATTGAATTGTCCCGTGTGTTGAGCAGAAAATCAGTTTTTGTTCAGTTTATGGGCGTCATATTTCTGAAATGAGGAAGATGTTAGCCAGGGAGAATAGAGTGATGTCTACAAAACGAAGACGAGCGAATGAGATGTATAGAGAATAACACTTTTTTTTTCTTCTTCTTCTTATAATTCTGATGTTTCTAGTTTACTTCTTACATATTTTTTGTTTTCAATAGTTTGCGGTTATTTTTAGTTTGTTTGTTTCTCCAATCGAGGTGCAGGATTATCTATTAGCGCTAAAGTTATTCGATCCTATATACCGATATCATGAATGCTGATGAATGAATCGACCGAAGGCCATTTCCGAGCTGTTTTGGGTGGAAGGAAAAGAAGAAATAATAATAAAGAAAAGAAACACATTACAATATTTATGTATCGAAAACACAGTACGTATTTCCTTTCTTCCTTCCTTTCTTTATTTCTTTTCTTCTTTTCTATTCCTTTTTCTTGTATTCTTCTTTTTTTAATTTCTTACGTTCATTCATTCGTTATTCTTTTATTATTTGCTTTTTGAGATCATTTTTTTCACACTGTCTTTTAAGTCATTCCTTCGCCATTATTTCATCTTTCGTTTCGTTTATATTTTCAGTCTTTCTTTTTCAATTCCTTCTGTTTCTTCTTCTTTTTTTTCGAGTCAAACTTTTCCTTTCTTTCTATCTTTTTGACTTTCTTTTCTTTATTTGCTATTCTTTCTTTATTTCGTTTTGTCTTTATTTCCTTCTTTCTTAAGTCTTTCTTTGTTTGTTTCTTTCTGTTTTTCTTTCTTTCTTTTCTTCTTTCTTAAGTCTTTTTGTTTCTTTCTTTCTGTCTTTCCTTTCTTCTTTTTTGCATCTTTCTTTTTTGTTTCTGCCTGTCTTCCTTTCTACAAATTAATCTTCTTTCTTTTTGAATTACTTTTCTTCGTGTGTTTTTCTTCTATTTTTCTTTTTCTTTCTTTTCTTCTTTCTTGAGCTTTCGCTTTCTTTCTTTCTTTCTTTCTTTCTTTTTTCTTTGTTTCTGTCCTTCATCCTTGAGTCTTTCGTTTGCTTTCTTTCTTTCTTTCTTTTTTTCTTTGTTTCTTTCTTTCTTTCTTTCTTTTTTTCTTTGTTTCTTTCCACAAATCAATCGTCTTTCATTCTTTCATTTTGATCTTTTTTCTTTATGTGTTTTTCTTCTTTCTTTCTTTTTTTCTTTCTTTCCTTCCTTCTTTCTTGAGTCTTTCGTTTGCTTTCTTTCAACAAATCAATCATCTTTCTTTTTTCTTTCTTTTTGTCTTTCTTTTCTTTATTTGTCTTTCTTCTTTCTTTCTTTCTTTCTTTAGTCTTTCTTTCCTTCTTTCTTGAGTCTTTCATTTTTGTTTCTTTCTTTCTCTCTACAAATCAATCTTCTTTCTTTCATTTTGACATTCTTTCATTTTTCGTTCATCTTTTCATTCTTTCTTTTTCAATTACTTCTTCTTTCTTCCTTTATTTCTTTTTATTTCGAGACAAACCTTTTCCTTTCTTTCTATCTTTTTGACTTTCATTTCTTGATATTTGTTTTCTTACTTTCGTTTTTGTTTCTTTCTTTTTTTCTTTCTTGACTCTTTCTTTTTTGTTTCCTTTCTTTCTGTCTTACTTTCTTTTCTACTTTCTCGAGTTTTTTGTTTCTTTCTTTCTGCCGTTCTTTCTACAAATCAGTCATCTTTCTTTTTCACTTTCTTTTCTCTATTTGCTTTTCGTCTTTCTTTCAATATTTCTTTCTTTCTTTCTTTCTTTCTTTCTTTCTTTCTTTTGTCTTTCTTTCATGCTTTCTTTTCTTCATTCTTTCTTTCTTTCTTGAGTCTTTATTTGTTTTTCTTTTTTCTACTTCATCGGGTCAATCCTGTTTCTTTCTATCTCTCTTTCTTTTATTCTTCCTTTTTCGAATCCTTTCTTTTACTCATACATTATTCATTTATTATTTGCTTTTAGTTATATTCCATGTTATCTCGTAGTCTTTTCTTACATTCATTCTCCATTATTTCATTTTTTGTTTCTTACATCTTTTCATTCTTTCTTTTTTAATGCTTCTTTTTTCTGTCTTTCTTTGTTTCATCACCCTTTCTTTCTTTCATTCTTTCTTTCTTTGAGTAAAACCTTTTTCCTTTCTTTTTATCTTTCTCACTTTGTTCACTTTATTTGTTCACTATCTTTCTGTCTGCCTTTCTTTCTTTCATTCTTTCTTTCTTTCTTTCTTTCTTTCTTTCTTCGAGTAAAACCTTTCCTTTCTTTTTATCTTTCTGTTTTCATTTGTTTTTATATTTCTTTCTATCTTTCTTTTCATTTTCTTTTTTGTTTTTCTTTCTATCTTTCTTTCTTCGAATAAGTCTTCTTTCTTTTTGTCTTTTTTCTTTTTCTTTTCTTTATTTTCTCGACATTTCTAATCAGTCCTATTTCGTCCATTCTTTATTTTATTTCCGTTTCTTTACATTATTTACCCACTTATTTATTATTGACCTAGTTTGGCACAAGGCAAAAATCTGTCGCTCATCACGAGTGAAGAAACATATAAAAAAAGACATATATTTAGCGGAAATTTGATCAGAAATTTGCACTCACTAGAGTCCGAAATATGCGATTGTCAACACTAAGTTGAGTGCATTGGCAAGACAAGATATTATATTGTAAACATACATATTTATTTTGTAAAATAAATGCATTTTTAATCATTAGTCTTCGAGCGCATTGGCAGACATGTGTATATACATGACTCCAACACATATATGTAAAGTCTGATGATCCGCAGTCCTTTAAAAGGCTGTGGTGAAATAATATATTACATGGAATCATAAAGTGGTCTGTTTTTATTTAAATTATTTGCTCTGGATTTACATTGAGCTCTCTGGATTTTATCCTCCTTGGGTCTACCCATACGGATTACCTAGATTTTCAAAAACTATATATATATATATATATATATATATATATATATATATATATATATATGTGTGTGTGTGTGTGTGTGTGTGTGTGTGTGTGTGTGTGTGTGTGTGTATTGTGTTGTATAACTCCAAGTTTAAGCAGTACAGCCCCTAGCGCGCAAGGGGTTACAGGGTGTGGAGGATATAGAAATGGAAATATTAGTAACGAGTAGAAAGAGTAAAGAGCAATCAGGCGGACAGTAAATAGCGATCGAAATTGCATTTAAATCATTTGCAGATTAAAGTGGACTTGAAAGCATGGAGCCGGGAAAGGGTTCCAGAAACGAGAAGTGTGAGAAAATAAACTGTCAGCATAGAAATTACGGGATACATTGAGCTAGTTCAACAGTAAATTGATGAGATCTCGCTGCCATTCTAGTATTGCGCTTAATTTCCCACAGTCTAGAAACCATAGCCAAGAGCTCATTACCATGAAAGTATTCACAAAAAAATACAGACAGGCAACCTTACGGAGATGAGTAAGAAAGTATTTTTTTCCATATATATATATATATCCAAATTCTATTGGTTTGGAGGAAGTTGCTTGCAAACATCATCTTATCCAGAAAAGACTCCTAAGAGGATGCTTCTCTGATCACTGCAATCTTAATGTCTTCGAGTCTACTCCCCATACACACGCGCACAGATAGATAGATAGATAGATAGATAGATAGATAGAGAGAGAGAGAGAGAGAGAGAGAGAGAGAGAGAGAGATGAATAATATGATGATTAAATATAAAATTCGTCAATGATGGTTGATATAACAACATAAAATACGCAGATGACACAGTAATGATAGCAGACACGAAAAAGAAATTAAAAAAAAAAACTCCAACAAAAGGTAGAGAAGGAGAGCTAGAAGAAGGGACTAAGCAAAAACTAAGACAGAATGCATGGTCATCAGGAAAAAGATGATCGCGCGATTTACAGGTCGGGGACACTAAAATCAAGAATATACAGAAATTTAAATATCTGGGAAGTGTTCTGAAAGAGGAGAGTAAGTGCGACGCTGAGATCCGAAGACGTATTGGGATGGCCAAAAACGCATTCCAAAAGCTAGGCAGAGTATTACGAGACAGGAGGATTTCTTTGGTAACAAAGAAAGACGTACTGAACTGCTACGTGATATCTTTACGGCATCTTTACGGCAGCGAATGATGGACGGTCTCCTGAAAGATGAAGAAATGTTTCGGAAGTATGGTTCTACAGAAGGATTCTAAGGATATCATGGACCGATCGTGTGAGCAACGATGAGGTTTTGGAGAGGATGCAAACAAGGAGGAAGCTTATACTTCAGGAAGAAAATTTGAGCTGAAATTTCTGGGACACGTAATGAGAAAGGGGGGAGCTTGGAGAATGTGATCCTCACAGGTTGAATATAGGGAAAGAGAGACAATGGAAAGCAACGCATGTCATACCTGGCGGGCTTAAGCAAGTGGATGATAGAATATAGTCTGGGGGAAGTAGCAAAGGAACAAAACTTATTGAGGGATATGGGGTGGGAGAGTGGGGAGTTATGATCGCCTCTATCCTAAAGACGTATTGGGATAGCCAAAGACGCATTCCAAAAGCTAGGCAGAGTATTACGAGAAATCGAGAATAGAAAAAAACGATTCCAGATTGTCATGTCTTTTTCTTACTTTTTTCTTTCTTTATAGAATCTTTCTATTTTTTTCATATTTATTGCTTCTTCCGTAATTTTAATTCCATTCAAAATTGTCATGACTTTCTTTCTTTTTATTTAACTATTTCATCATTTTTCTCTTTTTTTTCATTATTTCTCGCTTTTTGACCATGTTTTTTTTCCTATTTCTTCCATTCCCATTTTTCATGTTTTTCTCTTCTTTTCTTTCATTCATTCTCCATTATTTCATTCTTTGTTTCTTACATCTTTTCATTTGTTCTTTCTTTCTTTTTTTCTTCCTTTCTTTCTTTTTTTCTTCCTTTCTTTCTTCGTTGCTTTCTTTCTTTCTTTGTTCCTGTCTTCCTTCCTTCATTTCTTTCATACTTTCCTTCTTCCATTAATTCTGCCTTCCTTTCTTTCCTTCTCTTTTCCTTCCTTTCATGCTTCCTTCCGTTCTTTCTTTCTTTTTTCGTGTCTTTCTTTCTTTCCTTTTTTATTCCGTTCTTTGTTTCTTAATTTCTTTCTGACTTTCATGTTTCGTTCATTTCCTCCTTTAATTTCCCCTTTCATCTTTTCATTCCTTTCATTCTTACTTTTAATTTTTCTTATGTTTTCTTTCATTATACCTTCCGTTTTTTCTTTCTTCATTTCTTCCTTCCATTCTTCTTTCCATTCTTTCTTCCTTTCTTTCTTTCTTTCTTTCTTTCTTTCTACGTTCCTTCATTCCTTTCATTCTTCCTTCCATGTTTTCTTTCTTTCTTTCTTTCTTTCTTTCTTTCCTTCTTTCTTTCTTTCTTTATTTATTTATTTATAGATTTGCCTATTTCCTTTAATATTTCCTTTTTATTCCATTCCAGATTTCCTTCTTTCTTCTGTTTTTTTCCTACTTTCTTTTTTCTTTCTTCTACCTTTCAGTCTTCCTTCCATTTTTCTTTCTTTCGTTTTCTTACTTTCTTTCTTCTTTCCTTTCTTTCTTTTTTCTTTCTTGCTATTTCCATAAATATTTCCCATATTTTTCAATTTTCCGTCTATTTATTCTCTTCTCGATTTTTTTCTCTATTCTTTTTTGCTCTTCCTTCCTTTCTTTCTTTCTTTCTTTTTTCTTTGTATTTTCCTTTTTCTTCTTTATTTCGTGTTAGTTTTCCAACTCTCTTTAATTCTTTCCCTCTTTTTGGTACGTTTTTTTCTTCTTTTTATTCACTGTCATATTTTCTTTCTTTTCCTACTCTCATTTTTCTTTTTCCATTTTCCTTTTTCTTTCTACTTTGTTTGTTTGTTTGTTACTTTGTTTCTTTCTTTCTCATATGCATTATTTTCTTCTTTTTAAATTTTACTCAATTGCTGATCTCCTCCTTCCACTTTTTTTCATTTTTCATTCTTTTATCTACACCCCTCTCCCCCGAAATATATTTCCTTCATTTTCTCTCCTTTATATTTATTCTTCTTAGTCTTCCACTTCCTCGCCCTCCATCCACTTCTTCTCTCTTTTATTTCTCTTCTTAATTCATAATGAAAAAAAAAGAAGGATAAACAGAGAAAAGAAAGACATTCAGAAAAGAGGTCTCATGGTGGCCTGGGGTGGCCCCGGTTAGTGGGAGGGGGGATGAACAAGACATAAAATCGTAACGCCCTGACTGAGAGCCATTTCAGAGGGCCATGCCACTGTTGGAAAGTGGTAGGGCCGGAACGAAGAAGGTTACAGCCGAGAGAAAGAACTAAAATAGCCATAATATCTCCAGAAAATGCCTTGTCAAAACCCGAAACTCGATGAATGACACATGATATGCTTGAATCAGAAAACATAACAATCACCACCGGGACTGCAACGGCATTGGAACCCTCCTTAAAAACACAGCAGACGTCAGCAGCAACAGACAAAACGATTACCTTTCCCCCAGACGATTTGACAGCACAAGAATAATATAATCGCTAATGTAAATGATAAAAAGTGATTCCGAAAAATATAAGCAGTTAATATCTTATTAACAAACGTGATATTATGACTAATATGGTCCATTTCAGTATTTGCTTATGTGGGAGTGTTTGTTAATGTACCGCCGTATCAACTCCTTATGGGGCATTTAATGCTGAAATTTAATTTTCTTGCGAGCATTATTAATTTTATTTAAAAAAAAAAATCTATTGCTGGTAATGTTATTTCTTCAAAAATATATTGCATGCAATTTTTTTGGTCCCTAAAATATATTACTGGTACTATTATTATGAAAATATATTTTTAAACTTTCATAGTGTTTTGACTCCAGTTTGAGGGCTAACTATTTACCCATAGCTGGGACCCTAACAGGAGCTATCACCCTGGGTTAGACCTCCTGAGAATAACAGCAATTAAGAGGTGGTACCACGCTCTTCGAAACGTCCTGATCAGAGGCCTTTCTGGATGTAGTTTATCGTCATACCCAGGACGGGTTTTTAAGGGAACTGGCTTGTAATATCCAATACCTCTAAAACCAAGCTATTAACGTTTCATAACCACATAGAAAATCGTGTTTCTTTCTCCGATTTTGATGAAGGTTTTTAATCTTAAATAGGTTCATTGCATGGAACGTCTCTTGCGACTCAAGCTCACGCTAGGCCCTATTATACTATTTGCTTTGAATGTCTAAAAGGATTCAAGTTCAACTCAGCAAGCGAAACATATATACGATATTAAATCTGAAGCTGTCACTAGATCTTAAGAAGAATGAAATTCTTTGCTTTGAATGTCTAAATGGACTCAAGTTCAACTCAGGCCGCGAGTGAAATTCATATCTACTATCTTG